TCATAACAACAAACTGAACCAAGGGTAAATTTGTTTAATATGTCACATTCTTCATATATGAACAAAACACTCTTGATGCATATTCCATTTCAGGAACTTTATATAGATTGTGTACATGTATTTTAAAACTATAAAACTGTTCAAAACAAACACTGGATGAAAAATTGAATACACTCAATGGTATATGCAAGATTGGAGGTGACCAACCTGTGGCTTATCAAAGCTGACCCATAAGTCGCTGTTTGACCAACAAATTACCTCATACAGTGGCAACTCGTTCTTGCAAACCCTTTTCTTAACACAAAGTTCCAAATAATACAAAGAGGAATTCAATTTCCAAGGTGTTCTTGTAAATTTCATTCTATCCTGATAACCACAAACCTAAATCAAAAACCCCACCAATTTGTGTAAATGAGTTGCTACTCTACACAGTACAGGAACGAAGATGCTTCTGATCCCAGCCAAATGAGGAGATATCAAACTGAATGGGCATAGTACCTTAACAAGTTTGATCAGATCACAGATTGGAGAATGCAATGGAGCATCTCATGTTTGCAAAGGGACTTTGGGGCTAACTCTTATTATCTCCCCAGCTGGGTCAACACAAGTGAGCATCATATGTCCCCGTTTAAGCTGAAAACCTTTATACATGGGCTATTCAATTCCTAGGACGACCAGCCGGGAGGTAATAATCAAGGTTGGCCTGCAAAGTCCCCATTTGATCTACACAACTTTTAACATCTTAAAACATGTAATTACCTACAACTTAAGGATGCACCCAGCAACGTCAAAGTTTGCCATACCCTTAAATGATTTTTTTTTTATTGCTATCTTCAAACTCTGTTCCATCATGTCAGTAAATTCTGTGATGCTAATATAAACATTGAACCATCAAAAACTGTTTTGTGGACCCTTTTCAGGTTTAAAATCTAACAAAACTACAGATGAAACCTTTTTTAACGCAAAATGACAGTGTCCGTTTATGCGATGCATGCTACGTGTCCCGTCACATTGCAACACGATGTGCAATATCCGCGCAATCTATCTACGTGACACAACGCCCATGGAAACAGCAAGCAATGTAAACAGATGGTGAGACCATGTGGACGTTTACTCTCAAATCCATATAAATTCAATTGGAAAAAATGTCTAATGTACCATCGGATGCAGCATATTGTCGGCAACCGTATACCAAAGTCAGGATCGAGACACAGGATCTTGGGGTTTTCAAGATGAGATTGAAAATGCAACTGAAAATCCATGTTTCTGCATAAAATCATAATTTCAGCCATTTCATTTTTAATAGTTTATATGAGTTTTGAACCCTCAGGACTCAAAAATAAAACATTTCTGATTTAAGATTTCATACAGAATACATTGTACCTACTAAAATCTAGTAACGTTTTTTTGTAATTAGGCCCTAGAACTTTTTTATAGCCCACAACTCATAAGTTCAAACTTGGTTATTATATTTTTGGTACATTGTGAGTTATATTTTGGACACTAGGAAAATAATTTTTTGTTGCAAGGATATTTTATTTATGGTGGTCGAAAAAAATGGGTAAAAAAATGATAAATTGTTGTCCAAATTGTATGTGTTCAATGGATTTAACAGGTCATTTTCAGCCAGAAAATGTATACCTTATACACTTCCCATCAATAGTTTTTGAGTTACATACGAGATGAACTATACTGCATAAAGCATGTTGCTGAGTGCATCCTTAAATAAACAATGTTCTTGGCTCAGAAGCTGATCATAGTTTGTCGCAGAAAATATACCCCACTTACCCTGCAAATCTTTATACAAACTGTTACACATTGGTCAATGCTCCCTGATAATTGACTGCAACTGGAAAATTATCGAAGCTGGCAAGCTTTGAGTCCACATTTGATCTGTAAAACTTTATTCACAATTTGGCCTTGACTAACTGGGGATCTGATCATAGATGGTACAAAGTCCCATTTGATCTGCAGACATAACTTAATAGAAACACATTGAACACATGATTATGCTTTAATGGTTATCTGGCCCTACCCAATAGCTGAGTGCGAGGACCTGATTAATTTCACAAAAGGGGCAAATGGTCTACTTTTTGATGATTTTTTTGAAAAAAAGGGTCCAAACTTAGATGAAATTGGACAAGAGTGGTGAGATATTATAAAGTCTAATAAAGGCCAAAGGTCCATGGTAATTGACCAACAGTCAAAACCCAACTGCTAACCAAGTTGTCTCATAAATCAAAATTAGACATGTTACTTTTTACACAATTTTCAATTTCATGGGACTTCACCTGGCCTTGACTAATTGAGGATCAAAGGTGGTAGCTATGTCCCATTTGATCTGCAATGTACTTAAAAATCTAAATTTTGCAAGTAGCGGGCCTTTGACGAGTCAAGTTAGCCATAAGTCCCCATTTGACGTGCAAACTTTAGTTTACACAATGTGGATGCTTCCTCATCAGCTGGAACTAGCCAACTGAGGACCTCGATCATCACAGTTGGCTCTTAAATCCAAACATTATACATAGCGGTCCTTTGACGAGTCATCATGGCCCTGATCAACTGGTGAGCCAAGTAAAGTTGACCAAAAGTGCCCATTTGACCTACAAACTTAACTTTCACACAATGTACACATGCGGATGCTTCCTGGTAATCGGACCCAAGCCAACTGAGGACCTGATCAAAATTGCCCATAAGTCACTAGTTGATTGCAAAACATTACATACTGGCCTATTTAACTGGGGAGCCAAGCAAAGTTGGCCTAAAGTCCCTATTTGACCTGCAAACTTTATTTTACATAGTACACATGTGGATGCTTCCTTGTCATGGTCTAAGCCAACTGAGGACCTGATCACAGTTGGCTCTTAATTCCCAGTTGATATGGAAAACATTATACATCTAGTCCTATCACGAGTCCTATCAACCATGAACCTAATCTAGGGGAAGTGAGCAAAGTTGGAGTTTGACCTGTAAACCTTTATGCACATTGTTACACATGTGATGCTCACTGACGTTGACCATCTGGTGATATGGGAGCTGATAAAATTGACCTGTAAGTCATCATTTAAACTGCAAAACGTTAACCTGGCAAACTGGGGCTTATCAAACAACTTTAGCACAAAAGTTCCCATTTGCCTTACAATCTTCTATACAGTATACATACTGTTAGACACAAGTCTACTCCCTGGCCCTGACCAACTGGGCAGGTAATTAAGTTTTTCCTATTAAGTTCCCATTTGACTTGCAGAACCATACACTGCTTTACACACAGTATGCTTCCTGGCCATGGAGTTAACTGTTAACCTATATAAAGGTGCACCTCTTCCAAAGCACAGCCCTTCATCAAGGAAACCAGTAAGTGGGTTATATGAATAAGAAGCAACCACATTTTACGCATGTCAGTACCTGAAAAGATTTCATCCAAAATTGCGGAGTGTGATGAACATGATTAATTTCACTCATAACAGGTTGAAAATTCACTAAAAATCCAGTGGATTTGTCTTTCTAATTTGGTTTCTAATGAAATCTTTGACTGTTGTCCACCTTTTAGTACGACCCTTCAGGTCTGCATCCATCTTGCAGTACTTCATTATTTTTTCTTTACCGGGCAGTTGGCGTGAGCGTAGTTCTTCTTTAAAGTGTCTGTGTATTGCTTGTTTTTCTTCAGCTGTCCAAGATTGTCTGATACTCCTTTTCTTTCTGCTGGCACCACGGTCACTTTCCTTGTTTGCAACTTGGTCACTCTTCTTTCTGCTTTGCTGCGGCATGCTCATACCTTTAATAGTGAATTAGACAAATAAGTAGGGAAACACAATTAATGTTTCAGGTTCAATGACAGATTTTAAAAAACTTAACCAAATGCAGAAGATGGTAGCTGAGAGAAGAGTGGAATGGTTATATTTTGATTTTTTTTTTAAAGTTACAATTTACATTACTTTTAGCTAGTTCTTCATTTAAAGCTGTCTGCATTAGGAGTGCCATTTAGCCAGAATTCAAACTAAGCGAATGCTAAAATTCAAATAGTGACACAAGGATAATCACCTGTTGAGGGCATCTGGAATAATCAAAGTAAGGATAAACTAGATGGAACTTCGACTGCGCGCATTCGAAAATGATGCCTCCGTCATAGAGCAAGTTTACAAACCAAAACAGAAGAAATTTTTCAAATTCGAATTTCATTGTAATCCATTAACAGGTTCTCAGAATATCGTGATTACAAGCAATTTCTCATATACATATATGACCCTTTGATCTTTGACCTCATGACCCTAAAATCTACTCAGTTCATTGGCTCTGCAAGATGTCCTGAATTAAATAGTAATCCATCTGTCAGTTCTAATGATAAAGCTGTTTTTGCATACATAATGAGCCCATGACATTTGACCTTTGACCTCATGACCCATAAATCTACTCAGTTCATTGGCTCTGCAAGATACATACATGACCTAAGTTTGGCAGGAATCCATCAATCGGTTCTTGAGATAACGCGATCACGAGCTGTTTTTCATACATAATGAGCCCTGTGACCTTTGACCTTTGACCTTGTGACCCCAAAATCTTATCAGTCCATCGGCTCTGCAAGATACATACATGACCAAAGTTTGGCAGGAATCCATCAATCGGTTCTTCAGATAACGCGATCACGAGAACGGGACGGACGGACGGACGGACGGACAACCCGAAAACATAATGCCTCCGGCTACTTCGTAACGGAGGCCTAACAAAGGATATAACAAAGTAATTCATTCACACCTTCATTTTCTTTGTCTGACATCTCATCCATCAAAACAGCATCATCGGGCCTGTTCACTTCGTTGTCAGGATCATCATCAACATCTGGATCTATGTTGCATTCTGAAAAACAAAAAACAAACACAGATTTAACAAGAGCAGGTGAAAAATAACATACATGTACATTATAATCTTTGCAAGGGTAAGTTCATAGCAGACAGCTGTGGATAGTCATCCCTGTTTTGCTTTTCATGTAAACAGCACAGCTGGTACCACAACTACTCTTCAATACAAAGTGTATTTAGAGAGACAATTCTGCAAGTGTCATCATTTTTTTAAAACACATGAGTATCCAAAATATATCAAAATATGCAAATTAGCTCATTAAATGTCATGATTATGCAAATAATGCAATGAAAAGCATCACACAACATCTTGGCACCTCAGTCTGTCACCCTACCAGGTTTCAAATGAATCAGGTATAGCGTTTAGCCTGCAGAGCATTTTTTTTAAGGTTAACCTAAATTGCATTGCAAATAAGCTAATTGAAATTCATGAATATGCAAATAATACAGCTCAAAGCAACACATGATATTGTGGCACCTCACTCTATCACCCTACCAAGTTAGAAGTAAATCGGGCATAGCGTTTAACCTGCGGATCATCCTACCAAGTTTTGGAGTAAATCAAGCATAGCGTTTAGCCTGCGGAGCATTTTTAGAAGGGTTAACCGAAAACGTTAACCGAATCGGTTAATGGAAAGACGGACATAGATAATTTGGATTAGTATGTGCCACCATGAACGTTCAGTAAGGCGACACAAAAATCAAATCACATATTCAAGTATTTGAAATGTTGGCAGCTTCCCATATATTGTATCTCGGATCAATTCTTATTAAAACTGGAGGTACTAATGAAGACATCCCAGTTTGCTTACCAAAAGCATGGAACTTCACAAACTGAAGGATATAGCAAGCATACAAAACTAAGGAAATTATACAATATAAAAACTGTGTTGTATGAGAGTGAAATGAATGATTGAGATGTAACATAAAAGTTTTCTGGCCTAATGTAATCTCAAACTAGAAACCGTTATGATCTCACTAACCAATCAGATATCACTTCAGATAAAAGTAGAAGGAAATGAAAATGGTATGGCATATTCTCAGCCATTCTATCTAGCACAAAACATAAAAAATAGTCATACCTTCATCTGCATCTACACGAACATCATCCAACGTCTTTCCTGCCATTGCCTTTAGGTCTCCCTTCTCCATGCTGAAGAGTACTTTAGAAATCTTTGCTACTTGCAGTGACGCATCTGGCAGGCGGTAGTAGGCTCTGTGGGTTCTTATGTCATGGCCCATGAAGGTGGCTAAAATGTCCACTTCATTATCCTTCAAATTCATGATCTGAGAGCTGATAGCAATGTGCTTCCTGAGTTTTGTCAATCTAAGCTGATCTGGATACTTTGCTCCACACTTTTGGGCATGATTTCGCACTGTATCAGTTGCTCTCAAGTGGCCTCTTCCATCGGGGTTTGCAAACAAGTAGGGATTTCCATCATTGACTACTTGTGACCTTTTCTCCATCAACAAGTCAATGCTGCCTTTCATGTCATCTGTTAGCAAAACGGGTACAGTGTTATTGCATTTCCCATTAATCTCCACCCTCCATACCACATTGCACAACGCCTTTTCCCATTTGGTTAGGCCTTCACCAAATATTCCACCTTCTCCTTTTGTGATACACTTGTAATCACTGAGGGGCATCTTTGAAACTTCTCCCGGACGCTTCCTGTTGAAAACACACACCTGGGTCAGGGTAACCTCAGCCAACTGTTTCCATCTGTCAAGGGTCTCATCACTACTGCAGCTGTTCAGCTTCTGTTTTCCCTCTTTTGTTTCTTTTCTCACATAATTGGACAGTGCAACAACATCTGTTGTCAAAGGAAGCAGCCTTGATGTATTTCTCTTGTTTACTTTTAATGTACGCAGTGCATGTGTGCTTACTTCTGCTTCCCACTTGAGAGTATATGATTTGATGAACTGTTTGCATTTCTTTTCCAAACCAGCATCTGCTTGCAACAGAGCATTTCCCATAAGGACTTTGGCAGCCGTCACCAGTGTATATCCGACTTTCAGTGCCAGGCTAGGTGTTGTGTACAAATGTGTATCCTCATTAAATCCTGCAGCCTTCCTAGTTGCAGCTATGACCTCATTAAATTTGGTAGGACAAATCAAATCTACTAATGAAGCCGATGGGTGATCATTCAATTTTCTGTACTCACGAACCAGTCGTGCAAGTTCACGCAATTTTTGCCGTATATATGAATACTGGTCTTTGTCATGCCCATGCTTCAATGTCAGCCTCTCTGCTACTTGCTGCATTAATCTATCTGATTTCACAACTCTCAATATATCATCATCGACTCCCATTGATAATATCATGTGCACCTTTGGGCTTACTCCTGATGGGCCTGGAAGCATCATTCTACCAGTTTGAACATGTAAGGTTCTTTTTTTCTTCTTGGGTGGTTCACAGGTCTCATCCTCATCCTCAACATCTGGTCGCAATTTACATCTATGAACATGCCTGTACAAATCATCCTTGGAATAGAAAGCATAACAATGACTACATGGCAAATATTCTTCTGGATCCACATCATATTTCGGTCTGTATGCAACAATCAAGGTACCTTTATTTTCTTGAAGGACTTTGACATTGTGACGATAGTTTCCGTAATTTCTCATTTTAGCTAGCAAGTTTGCCTTTTCTTTCATGTCTTTAGTTGCAATCCATTGCTGAACCTCAGTCTCGTTGACATGTTGTGGTGTAAGCAGATGCCTCGGCAGTTTCTTTTGTGGTTGACTACAAAATTTACAGTACTGAGGTTTGTCCCACTTTCTACAGTTGTTGTTTGAAGTGGTCATCACATTAATACTGCAACTGGAGCTTGAGACTTTTGCACTTTGAACACTTGCAGAGGCATGGGCAGGTGAGGTATTAGGTACTGAATGGTCAACAGGCATGGCTTCACTCTCCTTATTATCACTGACAGAAACTGCCACAGAGTTACTTTGACGTCCACGTACAAACCGAAATGGAATGAAATCAGCCTCATCACTGCTACTACCTTCTGGATCAGATTCGGCTTCATAATCACTATCGGAATCATCTCCAGATGGTTCAGATGCGACAGGAGTGTCGTCATCTCCAGATGGTTCAGATGCGACAGGAGTGTCGTCATCTCCAGATGGTTCAGATGCGACAGGAGTGTCGTCATCTCCAGATGGTTCAGATGCGACAGGAGTGTTGTCATCTCCAGATGGTTCAGATGCGACAGGAGTGACGTCATCTCCAGATGGTTCAGATGCGACAGGAGTGTCGCCATCTCCAGATGGTTCAGATGCGATAGGAGTGTCGTCATCTCCAGATGGTTCAGATGCGACAGGAGTGTCGTCATCTCCAGATGGTTCAGATGCGACAGGAGTGTCGTCATCTCCAGATGGTTCAGATGCGACAGGAGTGTCGTCATCTCCAGATGGTTCAGATGCGACAGGAGTGTCGTCATCTCCAGATGGTTCAGATGCGACAGGAGTGTTGTCATCTCCAGATGGTTCAGATGCGACAGGAGTGTTGTCATCTCCAGATGGTTCAGATGCGACAGGAGTGTCGTCATCTCCAGATGGTTCAGATGCGACAGGAGTGTCGTCATCTCCAGATGGTTCAGATGCGACAGGAGTGTTGTCATCTCCAGATGGTTCAGATGCGACAGGAGTGTTGTCATCTCCAGATGGTTCAGATGCGACAGGAGTGTCGTCATCACCGGTCCAGTGAACATTTGAGCCAGATGGTGCAGCATCCAGAACTCCCACCTGAAATTATCGGAAACGGAAACAATTCATGAGTTTAGAAATTAAGAATTAGCCATAATATGCAAAAGTTTTGCATGCATTTCAATTTCGCGAGCAAGACAATTCACAATTTTTTTAAATGCATTTTCGAACATCAATTGGTAATATTAACAAATCGCTAAATTTGAATGCCACTACAATGGCCAATTGCCACTATCCATGGTGTGTAATTCCAAACTCAATCAAAGACATAAAACTTTGATTCTGTAGTAAGATGAGATTCATTTTTAAACAAGTCAACGCAAAGCGTAGCATCCCTCGCAGGGTACAAATGGCCTATATACGTCAGAACAAGTTACCTCCATTGGACTATATTATTATATTTCTAGGCAAGGATTTTCACATATATAATTACCGGTAGGTGTTTTTGCATATTTAATGAGCTATGACCTTTCACCTTTGACCTACATACTCAGAAATCGAAATTAGGCTGTACATGTATTTTGATACCATGTACCTTCATATCAAATTTCATTAAAATCCGTCAAACATTACTCAAGTTATCGAATGGAAACCAGATTTGCATATTTAATGAGCTATGACCTTTGACCTACATACTCCGAAATCGAACTTAGACTTTGTTTTAATACCATGAACCTTCATATCAAATTTCATTAAAATTCGTCAAACATTACTCAAGTTATCGAATGGAAACCAGATTTGCATATTTAATGAGCTATGACCTTTGACCTAGGTACATACTCCGAAATCGAACTTAGCCTGTATTTTGATATCATGTACCTTCATATCAAATTCCATTAAAATTTGTCAAACATTACTGAAGTTATCGATCGGAAACCAAATTTGTTACGAACGGACGCACGCACGGACGGACGCACGCATGGAAGGAAGGACGGACGGCAGCGTTACTATATCCCCTCCGACTTCGTCGGCGAGGGGATAATAAAAGTTTTATTTTTTTTTTAAACCAAAAAGTGCGACAAAAGGCAGATTTTGGCACTTTTGGTCACAATAAAAAAAAAAAAACTTACATAAAAATATCAAGATGAAGAATCTACAAACTAACGGTAGGTAAGAATGACCACAATTTTGACCAAGTTGTGGTAATTCTGACCAATAAATTGCGTAGCTTTCCTGTTAACTATTGAGCAGCACTTTTGGTCAAATTTGAGGTCAGATATGGAACTTATGACTTCTTTCCTTTCCCCAAAAATTGTACTTTCATGATCTTTGCATAATGTTTTGCACACTTTGAACGTTGGCACCCCCCTTTAACATATTTAAACTGATTTTTTGTCGTACAGTGGAATCTCTTTTACACAAAATCGAGCTAAAACATGACATTTATTTTTAACTGTCAAGGTACCTTTATTTACCACTAATCTATGAGACAGGGCATCTAAAGATCTTAAATTGATTTTTAAATTATCAAAATGAGCAGAAATAGAATTTACTTGAGCCCGGGGTCAATTAACGTACTCTCCTATCCCACCTTGGCCTCGCAAGTCGTTTTTGGCTTGCACCTTCTCATTTTTTAACCGATTTGTAAAGAAGGTGTCGAAATGCTTGGTATGATATGCCTCTAAATGAGCAGAAACCTTAAGGATTTTGACCCCTGTATAGCCCACCACTATTATAAAGTGCACCTACTTCTGATATCTGTAATGCACTTGAAGTATCTGCTTGGCCGAAATCGAACTTAGCCTGTATTTTAATATCATGTACCTTGATATCAAATTTCATTAAATTCTGTCAACATTACTGAAGTTATACAGTAGGCTTGCGGTTGCACCATGTGAGAGAGAGAGGATTGAAGTTATCGATTGGAAACCAAAATTGTTAATAGGAAGGACGGACGGACAGCAGCGTTACTATATCCCCTCCGACTTTGTCGGCGAGGGGATAATAAAGCATTACTACAAGATATCAAGAATCCAAGAAATATAATTCAGCATCATACAAAGGTAGGACATGTAAACATGATACAGCTGAACCTCGGAGCGGAACCTCTTTAACACAAAATCAGTAGGACCACAATATTTGTTTGTGTTATAAGGATTTTGTGTTATCCACTTAAAATTGCATACAAAATACATGGTTCGGCCAGATATTTACTTTGTGCTATCAGGGTTTTTGTGTCAACAGATTTTGTTTTTATAAAAAGGTTTCACAATTCACATTGTACATCGCATTTTCCCCTTTTTCATGACATTTGGGCTTTGATCACATATCTTGCAGGGAGGGTCAGGTGAAAGTTTATAGATTATTTTTGGCTAATTACGTTGCAAATTCAATAACCAGAACGTCAATGATGTAGCGCTCATCCGCATCTCGCAACAACAAATATCATAAATTTTATGTGGTACACTTTTGAACTGGTCAAAAAATAAAAATTTGATGCCCTGGAAGGGTTTGTGATTTTTAAATTATTTTTGGAATAAATTTGGCAAACCAAATCAAAATCGGTCAAGAAATGAGGGAGAAGAAGCAATTTTTGTTATTTTTGGAATAAATTTGCATAAATTACCATAAATATTAATGGAGAACAATTTCAAAATTCTGTGTAGAAGTTTAGTGTACCAAAGTTAGCTCTACGATATAAAGCAAACCAAATCAAAATCGGTCGAAATATGAAGGAGAAGCAATTTTGTTATTTTTGGAATAAATTTGCATAAATTACCATAATTAATTAATGGAGAACAATTTCAAAATTCTGTGTATAATTTTAGTGTTCCAAATTTAGCTCTACCAAATAAGGCAAACCAAATCAAAATCGGTCAAGAAATGAGGGAGAAGCAATTTTTGTTATTTTTGGAATAAATTTGCATAAATTACCATAATTAATTAATGGAGAACAATTTCAAAATTCTGTGTAGAAATTTAGTGTACCAAAGTTAGCTCTACCAGATAAAGCAAACCAAATCAAAATCGGTCGAGAAATGAAGGAGAAGAAGCATTTTTTGTGATTTCGAATCAATTTGCATAAATTAGCATAGATAATGAATTTGACGATTCTGTGTCGAATTTTTAAATTCCCGTCCTAGCCCTATCATATGAAACAATCAGAATCAAAATCGGTTGAAAAATAACGAAGAAGAAGCATTTTGAAAACTGTAGACGGACGGACGAACGGACGACGGACGCCACGCCATGGCATAAGCTCATCGGGCCCTTTGGGCCGGATGAGCTAAAACAAGACTTTTAGAGTTATATAGACAATTAGAATTTTGACAATTCTATAGCGACAGAACATCACCATGTTTGAGTTTCTCTTGGACCCGAGAGAAAACACGCTGTAGGATATGGAGCAATGTAATGCACACACTAATGCATAACTGACATTTTGGAAATGAGGTTTTCTTGGGCATATCTACTACATGTATGTCATTAAGAGGTGGTCCAACTCAGGGAATATCCTTAAACATGACATTAATAATAACACTGCCCAATTATTATAAGGACCATTCTAATTAATGGTATAAACCTGTCGCTACGTACAGATGAAGATGAATTAGATGAAGGATAGCCTATGTGTCTAAGTATAAGATACAAATTAGAAAGAAATGGTACATACCGGTACCTGTCGCCATGGCATATCCAGCATCCCATAGTCGTACCTGATTTCTTCTCCAATTTTGATATTGGATAAAGTATACAAGCAGAGATGTATCATTCCTGAGAGAGAGAACTTCTTCATAATGGAGTTGGGTCTTTTGTGGCAGTCGTTGATATATCGAGCAAGGCAGGAGTTAGGGCATGTGGCGTCGATCCTTTTGACCAAAACATAAGGAAAGAAAGTAAATTTTGATAGATTTTCTTAAAATTATTTGAAGGGGTATTCACAGATTCTAACATGCTCTTATTTAGAACATTAATCAGCAGGTAAACACAATGAAACCTTGTTTAATACCAGTTGATTTCGATTTACATGTAGCATTTGTGAGTTAAGTAAACCCAAACTGTGTAAAAACACTGGACCACAGGTTATTATGTTTTACTACTCTTGAATACAAGAAAAACTCATACAAAGTGTTGTTCTGTCAACAAAAAAACAACAAAAATTTTACAAGTCGACCTTAGTATTTCTTGTTATTCAATGTTGTAGTGCACATTACAAAAGGTGTCATTGCTGGTCAATTTGGTCACGCTATCTTGGTTTTGAACCACTGACCGATCGCAACACAAAACCTAGATGGTATACCATAATTCAAACAGTTGCTTGACCCGAAACTTGAACCATTAATTAACCAATGGTTAGTTATATGCACTATGCAAGTGAATTTGTGATGTTCTTCATAATCAATAACAAATTGTGAGGATGTAGAATTCCATTTCACTGGTGATTTCTAACTGCTACTCCTTGCATTGAAAAATAACTTTCAATTATTCAAAAGTGG